TTGTAGGCACTGACATCGGCACGCGTAGATTGTAGGCACTGACATCGGCACGCGTAGATTGTAGGCACTGACATCGGCACGCGTAGATTGTAGGCACTGACATCGGCACGCGTAGATTGTAGGCACTGACATCGGCACGCGTAGATTGTAGGCACTGACATCGGCACGCGTAGATTGTAGGCACTGACATCGGCACGCGTAGATTGTAGGCACTGACATCGGCACGCGTAGATTGTAGGCACTGACATCGGCACGCGTAGATTGTAGGCACTGACATCGGCACGCGTAGATTGTAGGCACTGACATCGGCACGCGTAGATTGTAGGCACTGACATCGGCACGCGTAGATTGTAGGCACTGACATCGGCACGCGTAGATTGTAGGCACTGACATCGGCACGCGTAGATTGTAGGCACTGACATCGGCACGCGTAGATTGTAGGCACTGACATCGGCACGCGTAGATTGTAGGCACTGACATCGGCACGCGTAGATTGTAGGCACTGACATCGGCACGCGTAGATTGTAGGCACTGACATCGGCACGCGTAGATTGTAGGCACTGACATCGGCACGCGTAGATTGTAGGCACTGACATCGGCACGCGTAGATTGTAGGCACTGACATCGGCACGCGTAGATTGTAGGCACTGACATCGGCACGCGTAGATTGTAGGCACTGACATCGGCACGCGTAGATTGTAGGCACTGACATCGGCACGCGTAGATTGTAGGCACTGACATCGGCACGCGTAGATTGTAGGCACTGACATCGGCACGCGTAGATTGTAGGCACTGACATCGGCACGCGTAGATTGTAGGCACTGACATCGGCACGCGTAGATTGTAGGCACTGACATCGGCACGCGTAGATTGTAGGCACTGACATCGGCACGCGTAGATTGTAGGCACTGACATCGGCACGCGTAGATTGTAGGCACTGACATCGGCACGCGTAGATTGTAGGCACTGACATCGGCACGCGTAGATTGTAGGCACTGACATCGGCACGCGTAGATTGTAGGCACTGACATCGGCACGCGTAGATTGTAGGCACTGACATCGGCACGCGTAGATTGTAGGCACTGACATCGGCACGCGTAGATTGTAGGCACTGACATCGGCACGCGTAGATTGTAGGCACTGACATCGGCACGCGTAGATTGTAGGCACTGACATCGGCACGCGTAGATTGTAGGCACTGACATCGGCACGCGTAGATTGTAGGCACTGACATCGGCACGCGTAGATTGTAGGCACTGACATCGGCACGCGTAGATTGTAGGCACTGACATCGGCACGCGTAGATTGTAGGCACTGACATCGGCACGCGTAGATTGTAGGCACTGACATCGGCACGCGTAGATTGTAGGCACTGACATCGGCACGCGTAGATTGTAGGCACTGACATCGGCACGCGTAGATTGTAGGCACTGACATCGGCACGCGTAGATTGTAGGCACTGACATCGGCACGCGTAGATTGTAGGCACTGACATCGGCACGCGTAGATTGTAGGCACTGACATCGGCACGCGTAGATTGTAGGCACTGACATCGGCACGCGTAGATTGTAGGCACTGACATCGGCACGCGTAGATTGTAGGCACTGACATCGGCACGCGTAGATTGTAGGCACTGACATCGGCACGCGTAGATTGTAGGCACTGACATCGGCACGCGTAGATTGTAGGCACTGACATCGGCACGCGTAGATTGTAGGCACTGACATCGGCACGCGTAGATTGTAGGCACTGACATCGGCACGCGTAGATTGTAGGCACTGACATCGGCACGCGTAGATTGTAGGCACTGACATCGGCACGCGTAGATTGTAGGCACTGACATCGGCACGCGTAGATTGTAGGCACTGACATCGGCACGCGTAGATTGTAGGCACTGACATCGGCACGCGTAGATTGTAGGCACTGACATCGGCACGCGTAGATTGTAGGCACTGACATCGGCACGCGTAGATTGTAGGCACTGACATCGGCACGCGTAGATTGTAGGCACTGACATCGGCACGCGTAGATTGTAGGCACTGACATCGGCACGCGTAGATTGTAGGCACTGACATCGGCACGCGTAGATTGTAGGCACTGACATCGGCACGCGTAGATTGTAGGCACTGACATCGGCACGCGTAGATTGTAGGCACTGACATCGGCACGCGTAGATTGTAGGCACTGACATCGGCACGCGTAGATTGTAGGCACTGACATCGGCACGCGTAGATTGTAGGCACTGACATCGGCACGCGTAGATTGTAGGCACTGACATCGGCACGCGTAGATTGTAGGCACTGACATCGGCACGCGTAGATTGTAGGCACTGACATCGGCACGCGTAGATTGTAGGCACTGACATCGGCACGCGTAGATTGTAGGCACTGACATCGGCACGCGTAGATTGTAGGCACTGACATCGGCACGCGTAGATTGTAGGCACTGACATCGGCACGCGTAGATTGTAGGCACTGACATCGGCACGCGTAGATTGTAGGCACTGACATCGGCACGCGTAGATTGTAGGCACTGACATCGGCACGCGTAGATTGTAGGCACTGACATCGGCACGCGTAGATTGTAGGCACTGACATCGGCACGCGTAGATTGTAGGCACTGACATCGGCACGCGTAGATTGTAGGCACTGACATCGGCACGCGTAGATTGTAGGCACTGACATCGGCACGCGTAGATTGTAGGCACTGACATCGGCACGCGTAGATTGTAGGCACTGACATCGGCACGCGTAGATTGTAGGCACTGACATCGGCACGCGTAGATTGTAGGCACTGACATCGGCACGCGTAGATTGTAGGCACTGACATCGGCACGCGTAGATTGTAGGCACTGACATCGGCACGCGTAGATTGTAGGCACTGACATCGGCACGCGTAGATTGTAGGCACTGACATCGGCACGCGTAGATTGTAGGCACTGACATCGGCACGCGTAGATTGTAGGCACTGACATCGGCACGCGTAGATTGTAGGCACTGACATCGGCACGCGTAGATTGTAGGCACTGACATCGGCACGCGTAGATTGTAGGCACTGACATCGGCACGCGTAGATTGTAGGCACTGACATCGGCACGCGTAGATTGTAGGCACTGACATCGGCACGCGTAGATTGTAGGCACTGACATCGGCACGCGTAGATTGTAGGCACTGACATCGGCACGCGTAGATTGTAGGCACTGACATCGGCACGCGTAGATTGTAGGCTGTAGCACTGACATCGGCACGCGTAGATTGTAGGCACTGACATCGGCACGCGTAGATTGTAGGCACTGACATCGGCACGCGTAGATTGTAGGCACTGACATCGGCACGCGTAGATTGTAGGCACTGACATCGGCACGCGTAGATTGTAGGCACTGACATCGGCACGCGTAGATTGTAGGCACTGACATCGGCACGCGTAGATTGTAGGCACTGACATCGGCACGCGTAGATTGTAGGCACTGACATCGGCACGCGTAGATTGTAGGCACTGACATCGGCACGCGTAGATTGTAGGCACTGACATCGGCACGCGTAGATTGTAGGCACTGACATCGGCACGCGTAGATTGTAGGCACTGACATCGGCACGCGTAGATTGTAGGCACTGACATCGGCACGCGTAGATTGTAGGCACTGACATCGGCACGCGTAGATTGTAGGCACTGACATCGGCACGCGTAGATTGTAGGCACTGACATCGGCACGCGTAGATTGTAGGCACTGACATCGGCACGCGTAGATTGTAGGCACTGACATCGGCACGCGTAGATTGTAGGCACTGACATCGGCACGCGTAGATTGTAGGCACTGACATCGGCACGCGTAGATTGTAGGCACTGACATCGGCACGCGTAGATTGTAGGCACTGACATCGGCACGCGTAGATTGTAGGCACTGACATCGGCACGCGTAGATTGTAGGCACTGACATCGGCACGCGTAGATTGTAGGCACTGACATCGGCACGCGTAGATTGTAGGCACTGACATCGGCACGCGTAGATTGTAGGCACTGACATCGGCACGCGGCACCCATCCCCCTCTCCCCTTCCCCAACTTCCCAACAGATCACCCTGTCACACCCTTCCCCGCTCCTCCTTCAGGCGCTAACAAAAGTAGTCACCCCCCCACCTCCCCCCCTCCCCCTTTTCCCATGTGATAAAAGGGAGTTTTCGAGGCGTCTCAAAAACTCCTTTTTATTACGTCCCGCCCTCCCCGATCACAAATGTCCGCAAGGAATTAACCTTGCGAGTCTACCCTCCCACTGGCTTCTTTCCCTTCCCTCCCCCCCCCCACCCCCCCCGCCCCTCCCCACACACCACCCCCACCCCATCACACCCACTCCATCCGGCGCAAGCATCAGCAGCCAACCTCCCCTCCCTACCCCATCACGGACGTCCATCAGCAACTGACCTTGCGAGACGAGATGTCCCTCCATGGATTCTCTCCCCTTGCCCAGCCGGCGCTGACATCTGGGATTATCCACCGCATCAGACGCTGACATCGGGAGTAATTTCTCCCCCCTTTCCTCTTTCCCCTCCTTTCCTCCCATACCCCATCACCCCCAACAGGCGCTGACATCGGGGGTAATCCCTCCCCCAGACAACCCCTCCATCCCGCTCTCGCTGCCGTCGCTGCCGTACCTGCGAGTGGAGTACATGAAGGTCTCTCAGGACTCGCTCGGCCTCGCCATGGCTGAAGGCGTCGCCACCATTTAGCAGGCGCTGACATCAGCAGTCCGCAGCAACCATTCGTGCAATATACTTTGTTTCGGTGCCAAAATGTAGTGTGGAAACAACAAGAATTTATATTAGTTCAAGCAGAGTGGAGATTCACATGGGCTTGCCACAGAATATAATGCGGCCAACATATTTTGAAATGCTCACTGTACATCATATAAGGTTGAAGTCCTTTCATTGACAGTGTATTAGGTCGCGCCTGATCATGTATCCCTGCTCTGGCTGGGTGGATGGCCCCCAACCCCTCACTACAAATTCAGTCCGTGCCTGCCTCGTCTTCCCACTCCACCTCATCCGACCCATCCACACCACATTGGTTGGTTTGACCTGCCCTTGCTTCCCTTTCACCTCCTGCCCCCTTCACTTCACCTCCACCGACCTGTGTCTGACTCGCATGGTCTTCTGCTGAACGCTCATTGAGCATCCTCCCACTACTCTCACCCCCGCTGCTCACTTCTTGATCATTGCTGACTGCACGTTGACCCACTCTCACCCCCGCTGCTCACTTCTTGATCATTACTGCCTGCACGTTGACCCATGCTGACTGCACGTTGACCCATGCTGACTGCACGTTGACCCATGCTGACTGGCACTTGATCATCACTTGTAACCCTTTGACTCGCACCCTCCACACCTTGTCCCTCGTTGACTGCACCTTGACTCTCGTTGACTGCTCCTTGACGCTCGTTGACTGCTCCTTGACTCTCGCTGTCTGCGCCTTGACCCTTGCTGACTGCCATTTCACAAGAATCACTTCCCCCCTGACCATCATTCACAATCAAGTGACCTTCAAAGCCTTTCTCTGAAACCACTTGCACCTCGCCTTCCCCTATGCTCATGCCTCCTCCCTCTCCTTCCGTTGCACTCATATCGCCTTTTCCCATAGTAGCATCCTCCTCTTTCCCACTCGTTTCTCCCTCCTTCCCACTCGTTTCTCCCTCCTTTCCACTCGTATCTTCCTCCTTCCCACTCGTTTCCCCCTCCTTCCCAGTCGTCTCTCCCTCCTTCCCAGTCGTCTCTCCCTCCCTCCCACTCGTCTCTCCCTCCTTCCCACTCGTTTCTCCCTCCTTCCCACTCGTCTCTCCCTCCTTCCCACTCGACTTTCCCTCCCTCCCACTCGTTTCGCCTTCCCCACTCGTTTCTCCCTCCCTCCCACTCGTTTCTCCCTCCATCCCACTCGCCTCTCCCTCCTTTCCACTCCTCTCTCCCTCTGTCCCACTCCTCTCTCCCTCCTTCCCACTCGTCTCTCCCTCCTTCCCACTCGTCCCTCCCTCCTTCCCACTCGTCTCTCCCTCCTTCCCACTCGTTTCTCCCTCCTTCCCACTCGTTTCTCCCTCCTTCCCACTCGTTTCTCCCTCTGTCCCACTCCTCTCTCCCTCCTTCCCACTAGTCTCTCCCTCCTTCCCAGTCGTCTCTCCCTCCTTCCCACTCGTCTCTCCCTCCTTCCCACTCGTCTCTCCCTCCTTCCCACTCCTCTCTGCCTCCTTCCCTCTCGATTCTCCTTCCGTTTCATTGATGCCCCCTCCCCCCACAGTTGTTGTCCCTTCCCCCATAACGAGGTCCCCTCCCATCACACTCATGTCCGCTTCCCCCATAGTCACATCCGCTTCCCCCATAGTCACATCCGCTTCCCCCTCAGTAGTACCTGCCTCCACCATAATCACATCTCCCTCCTCAAGCACCATAACCCCGTCACTCACACACACGGTTCCCCTCCCCTCACTCAACTCCTTGCCCTCACTCGTTTCTCGAGTGACATCCTCCCGTGAACTCAACTCCTTCCCTCCACTCAAATCCGCCCCTTGACCTGCATTGGCCGCCCCTTGACCTGCATTGACCGCCCCTTGACCTGCATTGACCGCCCCTTGACCTGCATTAGCCGCCCCTTGACCTGCATTGACTTCTTCTGGGCCGGCAGTTGGTGAATCGTCACCTGCACCCCCCAGCTCCTCCATCCTCACCTCTCCCGTCTCACATCCCTCACCCGCAACACCCACCCCCTCCGCCCCTCCACCACCACTCCCCCCTCCTTCCCCCGACAAGCGCACCTCTCCCCCAGCACCAACCCCCCCTCCACTCGGCACAGCCACCTCTCCCCCACCACTCCCCCTCAGGTCACTTGCTGCGGGCACTCCTCCCCCAGCAGCAACCCCCCCCAGGCCGCCATATGCGCCCACCACTCTCACAAAATTGGCCATGATGCTGCACAGGCTGCACTGCCCTGCCGGCCCATCCGCCACACAGCGGTGCGACACCGTGAAGAACCCCCCTTCACTGCCGCTTCCCCCCGGCATGCTGACTGTTCCCACTCTCTCATCCCCTCCCTGCTTCCCTCCCTGCTCCCCTCCCTGCTCCCCTCCCTCCTCCCCTCCCTGCTCCCCTCCCTGCTCCCCTCCCTGCTTCCCTCCCTGTCTCCCTTCCTGCCCCCCTCTCTGTCCCCTTCCCTGCCCCACTCCCTGCCCCCCTCCCTGCTCAACCCCCTGCCCCCCTCCCTGCTCCCCCCCCTGCACCCTTCCCTGCTCCCCTCCCTGCCCCAATCCCTGCTCCCCTCCCTGCCCCAATCCCTGCTCCCCTCCCTGCTCCCCTCCCTGCTCCCCTCCCTGCCCCCCTCCCTGCCCCCCTCCCTGCTCCGCTCTTTGTCCGCCGGTCTCCTCCTGTCCCCTCGCCACAGCCCCGCCCATTTCCCTTGCCCGGCCTGGCAGCAGCAGGTGCAGCAGTCCCATGGTCGTTGCGTCCCTCCAAGCCCCTCCTCTTCCCACCACCCCTCCTCCCTCTGCTCTGCCTTGGCCCACCCCTCCACCTGCATTAGCAGCCCATAGACCATAGTTGACTGGTGCTTGACCAGCGTTGACTGGTGCTTGACCCACGTTGGCCAGTGCGTGGCCCGTGTTGACCAGTGCTTGACCAGCATTGAATGGTGCTTGACCAGCGTTGACTGCTGCTTGACCAGCATTGAATGCACGACCTGCATCTAACCCTTGTTGACCGACAGCCATTTCCACCTGATTCGCTGCGACTTTCCTCCTTGGATCCGCATTGGCCACTAGTTGACTCGCTACATAGACTGCTGCTTGAATTGGATTGACTACTGCTTGAATTGGATTGCCTGCTGCTTGACTCAGATTGACCGCTTGACTCAGGTTGACCGCACCTTCACGTATTCTGGCCGCCAATGTAGCAACAAGACACTCACGGCACTTGCATTGAATCCCATGGACCACCACTGGATTGCCAGTCATCCCCGTGTGACCTGCGTTCACTGCCCCTTGACCTGCGTTCACTGCCCCTTGACCTGCGTTCACTGCCCCTTGACCTGCGTTCACTGCCCCTTGACCTGCGTTCACTGCCCCTTGACCTGCGTTCACTGCCCCTTGACCTGCGTTCACTGCCCCTTGACCTGCGTTCACTGCCCCTTGACCTGCGTTCACTGCCCCTTGACCTGCGTTCACTGCCCCTTGACCTGCGTTCACTGCCCCTTGACCTGCGTTCACTGCTGCTTGACCAGCGTTGACTGCCCCTTCGCCTGCACCCACACTTTCCAGTGGACCTTGATTCACTGCTGATTGGCGCATGTTCACTAAACCTTGACCAGCATTGACTGCCTGTTGACCCGTGCTGGCCATCTGTTGACTCGCGTTGACTGCTCCCAGGCTCTCTCTTCCAGCAAACTCCTGCACGCGATGCCCCAGCAGCTGCAGCCCTGCCCTGCCGCCCAACCCTCCACCCTCCCCTCCTTCTCCAACCCTCCGTTCCTCTCCACCACCCCCTCCCTCTCCACCCCCCCCTCCCCCATTCCCCCCTCCTTCTACACCCTCCCCTCCTTCTCCGACCCTCCGTTCCTCTCCACCTCCCCCTCCCTCTCCACCCCCCCCTCCCCCATTCCCCTCTCCTTCTACACCCTCCCCTCCTTCTCCAGCCCCCCGTCCCTCTCCACCACCCCCTGGCCTCACCTCTCTCACCTCTCCCGTCTCTCCCGCGTCTCTCACCTCTCCCACCTCTCCCGCGTCTCTCACCTCTCCCACCTCTCCCGCGTCTCTCACCTCTCCCGTCTCTCCCGCCCCAACCCCTTCAACTTCAACGCCCACCCCCTCCTCCCCTCCACCACCACTCCCCCCTCCTCCTCCCGACATGCGCACCTCTCCCACACCACCCCCTCCTCCTCCACTCGGCACAGCCACCGCTTCCCCACCACCACTCCCCCTCAGATCGCTTGCTGCGGGCACTCCTCCCCCAGCAGCAACCCCCATCAGGCCACCCTGCGCGCCCCCCAGGCCACCCTGGGCGCCCCCCAGGCCACCCTGGGCGCCCACCATTTTGGCGAAATTGGCAACGATGCTGCACAGGCTGCACTGCCCTGCCGGCCCGTCCGCCACACAGCGGTGCGACAGCGTGAAGTGCCCCCCTCCACTGCCACTTTCCCCGGGCAAGCTGACTCTCTCATCCGCTCCCTGATTCCCTCCCTGATTCCCTCCTCGATTCCCTCCTTGCCCCCCTCCCTGTTCCCCTCCCTGCTCCCCTCCCTGCCCCCCTCCCTGCTCCCCTCCCTGCCCCCCTTCCTGCCCCCCTCCCTGCCCCCCTTCCTGCCCCCCTCCCTGCTCCCCTCCCTGCTCCCCTCCATGCTGCCTTCCCTGCTGCTCTCCCTGCTCCCCTCTTTGCCCGACGTTTTCCCCCTGTCCCCTCGCCACAGCCCCATCCGTTTCCTTCGCCTGGCCTTGCAGCAGCTTCAATAGCAGCCCCAGGATCGCTGCGTCCCTCCACACCCCTCCTCCCTCTGCTCTGCCTTGGCCCACCCCTCCACCTGCATTAGCAGCCCATAGACCAGCGTTGAATGGTGCTTGACCAGCGTTGACCAGTGCTTGACCAGCGTTGAATGATGCTTGACCAGCGTTGACTAGTGCTTGACCAACAGTGAATGGTGCTTGACCGGCGTTGACCAGCGCTTGAACAGCGTTGGCTGGTGCTTGACCAGCAGTGAATGGTAATTGACCAGCGTTGACCAATGCTTGAACAACACTGAATGGTGCTTGACCAGCGTTGACCAGTGCTTGAAACGCGTTGAATGGTGGTTGACCAGCGTTGACCAGTGCTTGACCAGCGTTGACTGGTGCATGACCAGCAGTGAATGGTGCTTGACCAGCGTTGACCAGTGCGTGACCAGCGTTGAATGGTGCTTGACCAGCGTTGAATGGTGCTTGACCAGCGTTGAATGGTGCTTGACCAGCGTTGACTCGTGCTTGACTGGCGTTGGCTGCTGCGTGACCAGCGTTGACTGGTGCTTGACCAGGGTTGACTGCTGCATGACCAGCGTTGACTCGTGCTTGACCGGCGTTTATTCGTGCTTGACCCGCGTTGACTAGTGCTTGACCATCGTTGACTCGTGCTTGACTGGCGTTGGCTGCTGCGCGACCAGTGTTGACTGGTGTTTGTCCAGGGTTGACTGGAGCGTGACCAGGGTTGACTGGAGCGTGACCAGCGTTGACTCGTGCTTGGCCGGCGTTGACTGTTGTGTGACCAGTGTTTAATCGTGCTAGACCAGCGTTGACTCGTGCTTGACCGGCGTTGACTGCTGCTTGACCAGTGTTGACTCGTGCTTGACCGGCGTTTATTCGTGCTTGACCTGCGTTGACTGGTGCTTGACCAGCATTTCTTGTCTCTAGCACAGCAGCCGTCCCCACACGACCTGCACCTAACCCTGATTGGCCGACAGCTGCCTCCACTTGATTCGCTACCACTCCCCTCCTTGGATCCGCATTGACCACTGGTTGACTCGCGTTGACTCCATCTTGACCCGCATTGACTCCATCTTGACTCGCGTTGACTGTGCCTTCACGTGTTCTCATCGCCAATCTAGCAGCCACACACTCATGGCACTCGCATCGAATCCCATTGACCACCGCTGGATTGCCAGTTAACCTTGTGTGACCTGCATTGACCGCCCCTTGACCAGCATTGACCGCCCCTTGACCAGCACTGACTGCCTGTTGACCCGTGCTGACCTTCTGTTGACTCGCATTGACTGCTCCCAGGATCTCTCTAACCAACTCGTGCATCAACTCCTGCACGCGAGGCCCCAGCACCTGCAGCCCTGCCATGCCGCCCGCCCCTTGTGTGCCGCCCATCCCTCCTGCTCCTCTTGCCCCTGCTGCCGCCCCGGTTTCCCCTACTCCCCCTGCAACCCCTCCCACACCTTGTACACCCCTCCCTTCTCCTGCTGTGTCTGCTGCTACTGTACCTGCTGCTGCCGTTCCCACACCCACACTCCCACCTCCTGCCACACCCCCACCTCCTGCCATCCCTCCCACTGCCCCCGTTTGCCCCATCGTCCCCAATCCCCTCGAACCGAATCCCGTTTCCCCCATCCGTGTTCCCCCTGTTACTGTTCCCACCATGCTCGTCCCCCCTCTTCCCATTGCCCCCATTCCTGTACTCCCCATGCCCACCACCGCTGTTCCCAACCGCACCGTTCCCACCCCCGCCGTTCCCACCCCCGCCGTTCCCACCCCCGCCGTCCCCACCCCCGCCGTCCCCACCCCCGCCGCCCCCACCCCCGCCGTTCCCACCCCCGCCGTTCCCACCCCGGCCGTTCCCAACCCCGCCGGTCCCAACCCCGCCGTTCCCACCCCCTCCGTTCCCACCCCCGCCGTTCCCACCCCCGCCGTTCCCACCCCCGCCGTTCCCACCCCCGCAGTCCCCCCCACCACACCAGCACCCCCAGCCACACCTGGCAGCCCCCCAAGCTGCTGGTCTGGGAGGAGCGCATTCCCCCCCGCAGCAGCGGCAGCTTGAATCCCGGCCAGCTGCCGGTCAACGGCGTGGGCGTGGGCGCGGCGGGCGAAGAGGGTCTGCAGGGCGGGGCTCATGGCCTGGAAGGCGTGGGCGTCGAGGGGGCGCTGCAGGAAGGCGTCGATGGCCGCCACGCGCTGCGCGTCCGTGAGAGAGGGGAGGGCCTGCACGTCCTGCACTGCCTTCACCACACTGTCCGCCACCGCGTCTGGTGGGGGGTGGGGGGGGGGGAGAAGGGGAGGCCAAAGCTGTGTTCTCAGATGGCCCAGAAGGAGCTTGAGAGGAGAAACTTTGCACTGATTTGGACACACCGTCTGCCACCACGTCTGGTGGTGAAGAAAAAGGGGGGGAGGGAAAGGGGAGTAAGTTTGCGAAGAAGGTGGGTGGAAAGAGAGAAATAGATTCGACCCAGATCACCAGACTCAGATCACCAGACTCAGATCACCAGACTCAGATCACCAGACTCAGATCACCAGACTCAGATCACCAGACTCAGATCACCAGACTCAGATCACCAGACTCAGATCACCAGACTCAGTTAGTTCAGGTCTCCACTAGTCTATGCTTAGGCTAGGTGGGGATTGTGTATGCAAAGAAATATCATGCCGAGACTGAGCGTACGTGCGTTTTTGCACAATGGCCTTCGCCAGCGCTCTCAAAACTACAATAAAAATCTTTGTGAGAGCGCTGACGAAGGCCATTGTGCCAAAATGCACGCACGCTCAGTCTTGAAATGATATTTTGCTCACTTAATCCCTACGTAGCCTAAGCATAGATGAAGAGAGAGCAGAAGGAAGAGAGTGTGGTGTTCTGGGTAGAATCTAAATCTCTCTGAGTAAGAATGAGGGCGATGCTTGCACGTCCTGCACCGACTTGAACACACTATCCGCCACCGCATTTGACGGTGAGAGGATTGGAAGGGAGCGGTGGGAAGGGAGTAAAAAGGGATTGATTGATTCTTACAATTATCATGACTTATATAGTTACGATAGCTACTGTTGCTAATTTCATGTTGCTCATTTTAACATCAGATCTCCCGCCATATCTGCTTGGCTCCAGCATTTGTTACTCTGATCGTGGACAAATTTGATACTGGAAGGAAGTTGTGCCTTCACATCACATCACATCACACCACATCACATCACATGACATGACATCACATCACATCACATCACACCACACCACACCACACCACACCACATCGCATCGCATCGCATCGCATCGCATCGCATCGCATCGCATCGCATCCCATCCCATCCCATCCCATCCCATCCCATCCCATCCCATCCCATCCCATCCCATCCCATCCCATCCCATCCCATCCCATCCCATCCCATCCTATCCCATCCCATCCCATCCCATCCCATCCCATCCCATCACATCCCATCCCGCCCATCCTATCCCATCACAACACGTCACATCACATCACAACACGTCACATCACATGACATCACATCCTACCCCTAAGCATCTGTGCCTGCTCATCACCTACCTCTATGCACGTGCGGCTGGCCCTTCTCCGCCATGCTCTTGACGGCACGCGCCACACTCTCCATCACCCGCCGCTGCCGCTTCCTCTCCATTGCCTGCACCCACACCGGCCTCGACCGCTTCACACCCCTCCCCGCTCTCCCCTCCTCCCTTCTCTCTCTTTCCTGCCTCTCCCCCACCCCATTCTCTCCTTCAAGATCCCCATCCCCCCGTTGTGCATTGGCATTTCCTCCTCCCCCATCCCCGGCCCCTCCCCCCTCGCCCTCAACCGCGAGCCTCTCTGTGCCGCCTTGCTCCCTCCTTCTCACTGCCATGCCAGCGATCCGCGCTGCCAGCCTCGCAGGGTACTCGTCCCTATCATCCGCACTTGCACCACCAGTCTCACCCACACGAGCCACGTCAGCACAGGCCACGTCAGCACGAGCCACGTCAGCAGCATGAGCCACGTCAGCAGCATTAGACACGTCAGCAAAGGTGACATTGTTACGTGCCACCTCAGCACGCGGAACACCATCGACCCCACCATTCCCCTGTGCAGCCCCGACCCCACCACTCCCAACCCCTCTCCCTTCCACACCCTCTCGTCCCTCTCTTCTCCTCGCGCCCCCTCCCTGTGCAGCCTGTTGCAACGCATCCATCCTCCACGTCCCCAACCACTCATCACCATCCAACTCTCCACCCCTCCACCGCTCTCCACTACCCTCCCGTGCCTCCAACCCCTCTCTATCTCTCTGCCGCCGCACTTTCCTTCCTCCACGCCTATACCTCCCTGCCACTCGCCGCAGTCGGCTCCCATCGCCCCATCCCTCTCCCCACTCCCCCTCCTCAACCTCCTCCTCCGCATCCCCATTCCCCTCCCCACCTGCCCGCACCTCCATCACTTCATCTTCCTCCTCTTCCCCATCCTCCTCCTCTCCCTCCCCTTCTCCCCAATCCGCCTCCTCCTCGTCCTCCTCCTCCCACTCCTCCTCGTCCTCCTCCCACTCAACCTCAGCAGGGCACGTGTGGGCGTTGAGCAGAGCAAGGGGCAGCCAGGGCGCCGTGTGCTTGCTCCACCGCCTGTAGTGCTTCCACTGCCCATGTTGCTTCAGCCACAGGCTGATGCCCAGCTGAAGAAGGGCGGTGGGGGGGGTGAAGGGAGCGGGGAAAGGGGGGTAAGCGGGATAGGAGCAACGGAGTGAAGGGAGGGACGAGGAGTGTGGTCGTTGCCGTGCGGGGCTTCCGTGAGAGAGAGGGGAGGCGGAGGAGGCGGAGGAGGGTGGTAGACGCTAAAGTACAGACCACCTTTGGGTGGGGGACAAACCACAGCGCACCTTGAGCTCTCTCACCTCTCCCTCTCACCACTTCCTCTCACCTCGGGCTCTCTCACCACTTCACATCGCCCTCTCACCAACTCACCTCAGGGTCGGGGTTGAAGGGCTGAGTGGTGGGGTCCCAGGTGACTTCAGGCGGCAGCAGCTCCTGCAGAAACTGAATATCCTTCACCCACCCGCGCACCGAACTGCACCGGATTCTCAGCTGCTCCTTCGAGTACCGCGGGAACCCTCGTCGCAACCACTCGCGGTGCACCGCCCCCCAGTCCTCGATCCTGCCGGGGAGGGCGCTGCCCTGAGCGTGCAGCACGTCGCGAATGATCTCCAAAAGAGCTGTTGTCTGTTCGTTGTCCCACATCGGCCGCCACTTGCCGCTTTTCAATGCCTGTTCCCACCGCTCCCGCCGTTCGCGCAACCCCGTGTCTGTGCATGTGCCCGTGCCCGCGCCCATGCCCGTGCCTGTGTCTACGAGCGTGGCATTGCCCCTGCCTGTCGAGCCATTACCCAGCAAACCAAGCTCGTAGGTGTTCGCGCGCAGGGGGGGGACGGGGAGATCAAGGGGGGGCGGATGGAGGGAGGGCGAGGGGAAGGCATAAGGGGGGAGGGCGGGCTGTGCACGATCAGGGGATGCTGCGGGTGCGGGATTGGGGCTTGCTGCTGCAGCAGCACACTGGTGCGGACTGCTGTTTTCAAGTCCCGGGCGGCGGCGCTGCCGACCTCTAGTGCACGCTGCATCCGCCTCATCATCCCCACTCGAGAGGTCATATTCACCCGGGCCGTCTGAGTAATACCTGTCGCCATCTGCTGTGGTGGTGCAAGCGTGGTTGCCATGACGAGTCACCTGCTCGCCAAGGCTAAGCCACGGGGCGGTGTGGGTGACCCACCGTTTATAATCATCCCATTTACGCGGAGGGATATCGAGATCACGAACCTGCATGATACGGGAATGGGGAGGAGAGGGTGTGTAAACAAAAAAACAACCGCCCTCTTCAAATTGCATTTCTATGTCAGCACAAGGAGACAGGCAGTGCCTGCCTAGGAGGCTTACTTTGTGAGAATCATAAAGATTGACCTCAACTTACCATGGTACTTGGGTCGAAGAAGTCGCGTGCAGGGTCCCAGCTCACACCTTCTCCAACCCACGAATTGAGTTCCCTGATGTCTTTCACCCACGCCTTCACTGCGTTGAGCCGGTTCCGCAGCTGCTCCATCGTGAAGTTCAAATCGGCATGCTGGGCATGCCACCGGGCGAAGATAGCATCCCAGCGCTGCACTTTGGCAAAGGGCGCCCTGCCTGCATCCCGCATGGCCGCTATGACACAGCGGAGGAGGTCGGCTGTGAGGTCATCGTTCCACTTTATCATTGACCTTGTGCCAGTGGCGGTGATTCTCGATGGGCCTCTACTTGCAACGGACGGGAGTGCAGTGGGTGCGGTAGTGGGGCTTGCAGCAGGAGCGGGGGGTGGGGATGCACCGTGTGGGGGAATGGGGGATGCTGCAGGAGCGGGGGGTGGGGATGCACCGTGTGGGGGAATGGGGGATGCTGCAGGAGCGGGGGGTGGGGATGCACCGTGTGGGGGAATGGGGGATGCTGCAGGAGCGGGGGGTGGGGATGCGGATGCAGGAGGATGGGATCTGGTGGCCATTGAAGGCGCAGACGTGTGAGGACTGCTCTGCTCAAGTCCCAGTCGACGGCGCTGCCGGCCTCTAGTATACGCTGCATCCGCCACTTCATCCCCACTCGAGAGTTCGTCTCCACCTGGGCCGTCAGAGTAGTACCTGTCGCCATCCCCTGTCGCGAATGCGTAGCTGCTGCCACTCAACCTGGATTTGGGTACAACCTGCTCCCCAAGGCTAAGCCACGGTGCGGTGTGGCAGACCCACCGTTTATAATCATCCCATTTGGCATGCTTCGTGATATTATCAGCATCACGAACCTGCACGAGAAGGGAATGGGAGGAGAGTGGTAGGTACAAATACTTAAAAGCCCTCTTCAAGCTGAGAGTCACTGTCAACACAAGGAGACAGACAGGCAGCGCCGCATAGGAGGCTTACCATGGTATGCGGGTCGAAGTTAATGTTTTTTTAGAATTCTCAATTAACATACGCAGAGACAGACAGGCAGCGCCGCCTGGGAGGCTTACCATGGAATGCGGGTCGAAGCGATCGGTAGCAGGGTTCCAAGTCACTCCCGGGCGGACCCTTGACTTGAGTTGCCTGATGTCCTTCACCCACGCCTTCACCGCGTTGAGCCGGTTTCGCAGCTGCGATTCCGTGAAGTTGAGGTCGGCATGCTGGGCATTCCATCGGGCGAACACAGCGTCCCAGCACTGCACTTTGCCAAAGGGCGCTCTGCCTGCATCCCGCATGGCCGCTATGACACAGCGGAGAAGGTCCGCTGTGAGATCATCGTCCCACTTTGGGCTTGATCTTGTGCCAGCGGTGGTGGTTCTACCTGGGCCTCTACTTGCAGTAGGGGGCTCACTGGGAATAGAGCCGTTGGGCGGCAGAGGAGGGCGTGGAGGGTCGGCAAAGGGCGGACGTGGAGGGTCGGCAAAGGGTGGGCGTGGAGGGTTGGGAAAGGGTGGGCGTGGAGGGTCGGCAAAGGGTGGGCATGGAGGGTCGGCGAAGGGTGGGCGTGGAGGGTCGGCGAAGGGTGGCCGTGGAGGGTCGGCAAAAGGTGCGAGTGGAGGGTCGGCAAAGGGTGGGCGTGGAGGATTGGCAAAGGGGCGTGGAGGGTTGGCAAAGGGTGGGCGTGGAGGTTCGGCAAAGGGTGGGCGTGGAGGTTCGGCAAAGGTTGGGCGTGGAGGGTCGACAAAGGGGCCGGCGGGGGTGCGAGGGTGCGATGGCGGCAATTGACTGCCAATGGCGATGGGGGTGCGAAATACAGCAGAACTGCCATTGCCAGGCACGTAACTGTATTCCAACAGCGTGGTCTCATCGTGGCAAAGAAGACTCGTCTCACAGGTCACTGCTGTGCCAGTCGGTCTGACCCAGGCTGAAGCTTGCATTTCAACTAGCGGCAGGGACCCTGGCTGTGACGAGCCTGGCTGTGACGAGCCTGGATGTGACGAGCCTGGATGTGACGAGCCTGGATGTGACGAGCCTGGATGTGACGAGCCTGGATGTGACGAGCCTGGATGTGACGAGCCTGGCTGTGACGAGCCTGGATGTGACGAGCCTGGATGTGACGAGCCTGGATGTGACGAGCCTGGATGTGACGAGCCTGGATGTGACGAGCCTGGAGGTAAGGACAGAGTGGACAGGGGGATAGGGAGTGACCACGGGGGGAAGAGTGGGTGGAGAGGGGAAGAGAGTGAGCAGGGGGGAGAGTGTGATTAAGATGTAAGAGGGGGAGAAGGGGGAAGAGAACGATAATGGGGGAATAGAGTGATTAGGGGGGGATAGCGTGATCAGGGGGAAAGAAAGTGAGCAATGGGGGAAGAGAGTATGGGCGGACGGGAGAAGGGGAGGAGATGAGGATGGGCGGACGGGAGAACGGGAGGAGATGAGGATGGGCGGACGAGAGAAGGGGAAGAGGAAACAGGAGAAAATGATGATGGGAGGACGTGGGGAGATGCGGAAGGGAGAAGGGGAGGAGATGAGGATGGGCGGACGGGAGGAGATGGGGAAGGGAAAACGGGAGGAAATGATGACGGGAGGAAAAGAGGAGTTGAGGGTGAGAGAATGGAGGAGATGCGATGGGAGAATGGAATGGCAGATGCAAAACGACGACGTCACGTGGCGTCAATATCAACCACCTGATACATCGCGATAGCGCTTGCACTTAGCGATAGCGTGTCAAAACGCTGGCCAGGTATCATCAATCGCTATGACTGATTATCATTCCAGCAGACCTAATAGAATGGGTTAAAAAATAACATCGCAAGTCGCACGAAAAGCGGGCCACGATCGAAGCGCGCTTACGGTAGACGCCACGCGTCAGCAATTGTCCTTGTAAGGAATATTAAGAAGCTCCGGAAGTATCTAGGAAACTGCGTCGAGCTTCGCTAGAATTCCAGCCTAGGGAGGTTTGGTAGGGTAGCAGCCTAGGGTTTCAGCCTTGGAGCTTGTTTGGTTCTCGACAGGTTGCCGGCGTGTTCGCGGGCGCTGTAGCAAAATTCGTTTCTAGTGATCTCTCCTGTGTGAGGTAAGGGTCAACGAATGGCGGGAACATGTTGTGAATCAACGAGTGTCGGACGCTTTCGCGAGCGTTATTCGTCAAGCACGAGGAGGAGCTCGCAACAACACTGGTTTTCGCACTACTCGCTGACAGGCTCTGTTCGGCTGCACAGAGACAACCAACCTGCAACACAGAGAAGTGCAACACCAGGCCAGCGTCCGTCGCAAAGGTTAGGGCTTGCTGTTATGGGTGCAATGACTCGAAGTAGCGAGAACTGCACTAGGGTGTCAAACGAGTACAAAGATGTGAGCGAAGGCATGAGCGAACATTTATATGCGAACCATGCGAACGGTAACGCGGTGCGTGCGAGCTAGATAGTGCTATGTTGGCAGCGAGGCTCGGGCTAGTCCCGAAGCGTAGGCCGACATGGCCGGGCCAGCAGTGCGAGGTTTGGCAAAACAGTGCGCGCGAAGTTGGCGAAGTCCCGTTAGCAGTAACGGGCGAACAACGGCTGTTGCTGTACGCGATGTAGTCGAGCTCCGCAAGGAATGTCGAGAAAATTCCTTACACTACCCCCCCCCCCCCCCCCCCCCCCCCCCCCCCCCAAATCCCCGGCTCCTCAGGTACACTTGCAGGGCAGGGTGGTTTTCAATGTTGGCCAGGGGCACCCAGCTATCTTCAGTTGGCGTGCGGTCCTTCCAACGAACGAGGAATTCAATCCTCCTGATTCCCGTGGGGTGGCGAATCCGATGGCTCAGGATTTTTTCGGGCTCGATGATCGGTTCAGATGCAGGGCGAGTCATGGATGGCGGGCGGTGGCGAGGCAGTTGGCTTGTGGTTGGGATGTATGGGCGAAGTAAGCTGACGTGGAACGAAGGGCTGATGTACCAGTCAGTCGGTAACAGTAGGGGCGCGCTTACTGGCGTGATCATGTGGCTGATTTGGAATGGGCCACAGTAGCGCGGTCGAAGTTTTGGTACGTCGAGCAGTCGCAGATTTTGCGTGTCGAGCAGTACGTAATCCCCTGACTGGTATGTGACTGGGCGGCGGTGGCGGTCAGCATTGCGCTTAGTGATGACGTTTGCTTTTATAGTTGCTTCTGCGGCTCTGGTGCGGGCAGCTTGCAGAATTTCGGCGAATTGCTGCGCGCGTGGTGTTGGGCTGTCCGGACTCGGCGTCATGGGCACTGTAGGATTTTGCCCGTAGTTCAGGTAGAAGGGGGACTGCTGCCTCGTCGCTGACATGGCGTTGTTGTACGCGAACTCGATCAGCGGCAGCTGCTGCTCCCAAGTCGTGGGGTCGTCGCACGTGGCACAAATAAACAGCTCCATCGTCTGATTCGTCCGCTCCGTTTGACCGTCGGTCTCGGGGTGGTACGACGAACTGAACTGTAGCGTGGTCCCGAACTGCTCCCAAGGGTTCTTCCCAAAGTTGTTGGTGAACTTCGTGTCCCTGTCGCTGATAATCGCTGCTGGTATCCCGTGCAGGCGAACAACGGCTGCGATGAACAGACGAGCGGTCTCTTCGGCTGAGATCGACTTTTTGCACACAGCGAAGTGTGCCATCTTCGTCAATCTGTCAACGACGACCATCACCGCGTTGTTACCTGTGAGAATTGAGGAATGAATAAGAGAGGGGTTCACTAGCAAACATTGGGATACATATAGCAAACCCTAAAAGGGTTGTACTCACTATAGAGTACCCCACTGCAGACTAGAAAAACATAATATTCTGACACACCCCCATAGTCAAAGTGGGATGTAATCAGCACAACAAGCAAAGCAGAACAAGCTCAGAGTGGATCACAATGTCACCACACATTCTGAGCACAACTGTAAGCAAAGCTAGAGGCTATCACCAAAGGCAAGTGTGGAGGAGGAGGGACTATGAGAGGAGAGGAGGTAGTGGGCGGCAGCTAAAGCTGCTGGCACACGGCGCAACTGGAGCAACTGGCACACTGGCAACTGGAGCAACTGGCACACGGGCTACTGGAGTAACTGGCTCTGCGGCTAACTCTGAGCGGCAGGAGCAACAGACTCACGGGCGACTGGAGCAACTGGCCCACGGACGACTGGCGCAACGGGCTCACGGGCGACTGGCGCAACGGTCTCACGGGCGACTGGAGCTGCGGGCTTCACGGCGGCCACCCCCCTTCAACTTCCCCAAACTATCCCACCCCCCTTTCACACACCCCCTGCTGCACCCTAGGTTCACTCACACCCCACCCCCTAGCACCACTTCGTCGACTCCTACACACCCACCCCCCTCAGCGGCAACGGCAGCAGTGGGAGACAGAGGAGGAGGAGGAGCAGGGGAGCCCACACACCCGCCACCCCCTACTCGCCACCCCCAGACCCTAACACAGGGCAGGGCGGGACGGCAGGTAGGGAGGTTACGGGGGGGGGGGGGGGGGGGGGGTCGACACGCGGCCTCCCACGGCGCCAAAACAGGCGGCAGAAGGGGCGGCGCTCGCCCCCCTCCCCCAGGTCGCCCCGCGGCCCCCTCAGGTCGCCTCGACAGGCGACGGGAAAAGGGGGGGGGGGGGGGGGGGGCGGTGCACGTGCCCCCGGTGCGCCGCAACTGGCGACAAAGCATGGCCGGGGCGGGGCCGGGGCACGGTCGAGGAATGGCCGAAAGGGGCGGCGACGGGGCCGCAAGTGGCGGCGACGGGGCCGCTGGAGGCGGCGGAGGGGCCGAAAGGGGCGGCGACTGTGAAACTATGACCAGAGGAATGAATGGACTAAGTCAGAGTTGGGTACAAATACAACCCTAGCAAACTGTACCCCATATGTGCTACCCCACTATAGCCTACAAACATGCATCAGCTATAATAATCTGACACACCCCCATAGGCAAAGTGGGGGAGAACAAGGGGTCACAAGACCAGTCAAGCAAAGCAAAACAAGCTCAGGGTGGATCACAAAGTCACCACACAGTCCGAGCACAAGAGCAAGGCCAGAGGCCAGTTCACATGCAGGAGTAAAGACATATATATAAAACTAGACAAGCAAGAGCAGGTATATATATGTCAAAGTACAAGTAAAGTCAAGAAGAGAGCAAGTGAGGCAAGACAGGTACAAGACCCAGCTGGGTACAAAAGCGCTGATGGTCGCAAGGCGCAAGTGCCTTGGTGAACACATCAGCAGTGTTGGCCTCAGAGGCCACGTAAGCAAGTCGCAACTGACCACGCTGCTGCAGCTCACGAGCAAGGAAGTAGCGGAGAGCAATGTGCTTCGTTCTGTGCTCCAAGCGCTGCTCTCGACACAAGGCCAACATGGCCTTGTTGTCTACGTACAGCACTGGAGGAGAACGAGGCAGCTCTCCAAGGTCAGTCAGCAGGTAGGTGAGCCAGCGAAGCTCCTGTGCAGCCATGGCCCCGGCGTAGATCTCAGCCTCACAACTGGAGCCGAGAACCGAAGACGAGCGAGTAGACCGCCACGAGACAGAGCCGGAACCAAGGCTGAAGGTGTAACCCTGTGACGACCGCTGCGTAGCCTGGTCGTCAGCCCAAGAAGCGTCTGCGTGCCCAGTAAGGACCACTGGACTCCGCCCTCCAAGCACTAGCCCCATGCCCGACGTACTGCACAGGTAGCGCAATACCCTCTTCGCTGCAGCCATGTGCTCTGGTCGGTGTCTCCCAGGAGCAACATAGCGTGCAAGGATGCTCAGAGGGTATGCAAGGTCAGGTCGAGTGCAGGTCATCAGGTACATGAGGCAGCCAACAAGCTCTGCATACGGACCACTCGACTCTACGGACTCATCCGAAGGCAGAGCTGAGAGTGAGTGGCGAGTAGGCAGAGGAGTGGCCTGAGGCGAGGAGTACGTGAAGCCGAAGCGCTGAAGGACCTGCTGCACCATGTGTGACTGAGTCAGGGTAATGGTGCGGCG